GACTAAGAACCCAATGAACATTTACTGCCAGTTTGAGCATTAAAGTCAGTATCATATCACGATAATACTGAAGGAGTTTACTCTTCCTTCCGGATCCGACGGCGGCGATGAATCGCGCAGCTCGTGGGGACTGGGTGCACGATGACACCAGTAACCCTGCTTACGGACGAGTACTCGGGGAAACTTCCCCAGGCCAGCGACTACGTACAGGAAGGGTTGAAGGCAGGAGGAAGAGAAGATGCTGACATCTCTCCCTACCCCTCTCCAACACTTGCCCAAGCCCGTCATTCTATCGTTCTCGCCGGCTGTCACCTGAGGTGAAATAACCGGCTTTATTACTGCCTGCAGAGCCCGAATAAAGTTTTAGGTCACGTGCCTATAAAGCAAGCAGGTGCACAGCAGGTCTCTCACTCCTTTCCAAGTAAAAAGGAAAAACCTCAGCTCTCCATCCCCTTCATCTCCGCGGGGTCCCGGTTTGGTTTTCTTGGAGAATACCGGGTACACAGAGACGCCTCCGCCCACGGCCGCTACCCGCCCGGGCTCGTCCCCAGCCTCGGTTCCCGCCCTGCCGCCGCGGCGACCCGGGTCCCCCAGCAGCGCTTGGGGAACGCCAGCCGGCCCCTAGCGAGGGCCCGCACTCACCGGCCCCGGCAGTCCCACCAGCCCCGCTCAGACCCTCCACAGCCGGCCGTACCACGCGCGCCTACAGCGCCTACAGCGCCGTGAGCTAAGCGGGGCCGGAACGCCCGCCCGCCAGGGGGCGGGGCGGGAGGACACGCGACCTTTGACCCACGCGCGTCTCCGGCGCCGCCGGAAGCCGGCGCCGCGTCCGTCGCCTGGGATCCCGCGGTTTCCTTGACTACGCCCGGCGCTGTGGAAGTGGAGAACCTGCGGGTGCGGAGGTCCGGTGGCCGAGAGAATGAGAAGCTGGTGTCTGTGTCAGATTTGTACCTGCGGGTAAGAGGCGGCTGGTGTGGCGGCGGGCTGGGGGCTCTGCCATGAGAGTGGCCGTCCCCAGGAGCTGAAAGTACAAGGACGCGGCAACGTCCCCTTTGGTCGGGCCCACGAATTCTCGTTTCGCACCCGCCGGCTACTAGGGGTAGCAAGTTTCTTCTTTGTAATCCCCGAGGCTCCCTACCCAGGGATGCAAACCAAAATGCCCCTTGGGCCAGGTACATAATTTGTGTGAGGAGCGGTCGGAAGAAAGGCTGGGAAGTGGTGGGATCTGATCCGACTGGGAGAGTGCGTGCCCTATGAAAGAAAAAAGAAAAAAAGATTTAACAGAACGGTGTGCAAGGCCATGAGTTTGCAACCCATGTTACACTTTCTTCCATCTCCAGCTTTCCCTCCTCCAAGCCAGACCATATTACCCTTCCCATCCAGGCACCGCTCCTTTGGGATCTGCCTGACTGGAAAAGCAGTAGTCCCCACCCTGATTCCCAGAAATGATCTGTGAGCCTCACCTAACAACCTCCAACCACCTAAAAACAGTTTTCTCCTTCCTCAGCTTCACTGTTGACCCAGAAATTTGATCATTGTTTGCTAGGTAAACACGAATATGTCAATCTTTTAGTATTTGAAGGAGTTCAAAGGAAAAACACTGTATGTTAATGGAAAGTAGTTGCTTTGCCAGTCTCATAATAAACATTGTTTTTATTTAAATGTGGATTAAAAGATAAACAAATTAACTTTGAAGGTATGAATCTGCAAACTCCAGTGTGCAAGAAAATTTTTTTGTAATCTTAAATTAATTTGTAACCAATCTAAGTTCCTTTCTCATCCAGCTGCCAGGAAATTAAATCTTCATTATGTTGAGCGCTTCCCTTTCTTCAAGAAGTGTAGTGATCCAAGGAGTGGAGGCATTGCCAGTGCAAGAGAAGTCCCCTCTGGGCTTTGAACACTGGTAATGATCTCCACTGAAATGTCCCTTGCTGAAATTCACATAGTGTCTTCAAGAGTCGTGCCTTTACTGCTTTCAGGCTTGTATTTGAGGTAGAATCTTTGACAAAGCTGGGAGCTACTATTATAGGGCTCCACTTGGCCAACCCCTTTGAGATCTGGCCATCTTCTAGAACACTGACACAGAGCGGGCAGAGATTCCCCACTCTTCTCAGAACCTCTTTCCTCTCATCTTTTACCTCCTTGCTTGGATAGGGGTGGGGGGAGAGGATCTTTACTTCTTCTTTTTTGGTTCAAAACCATCTCTTTCCTCTTGTGACCCTAAAAGAAAACTGTCTTTCATCTCACCCTTAGGGAGACTTGATTTCATCTCTTCCATGAACTTTTTTTTTTGAAGACAGGAAAATTTAACTTCTGTGTTTTGGCTCATGTTGACCATGGTGAAAATCCCTTTAAATGGCTGTTTTTTTTAAAAAGACAGGAAAATATCCTCTGCCAAAAGCCCTGCTACAAGGAAATGTAAAGGTCCTGAATACAAGCTTGAAATAAAGGAGGGAGAAAAGACAGGAAGAACAGAGCATTAATATTTTAGTAAATTGTCTCTCTCTAGGAGGATCAAGATTGTCAAGAGACCTCTTCAGGGAAGTTTTGACCTGCTTATGCTACCTTGTCAGTTTGCTGTTTGAGTCTCTCCCCCGCCCCCCCCGCCCCGCCACTACATAACTAGTTTCACACATCTATTTTTTTTCTACTGTAAGGTCAAAGCAACCATCCTTCTCTAACATATTTTTCCCAATGTTTCATAATATTTTGTATTGTGTATATACAATTTTTCATGTGAACTAGACTGTGATGGGGTTCTTTTATGTTGGAAAGCAAAGTTGGGGGATGCTAGAAAAAAATGAGGCTTTGTAACAATAACCAACTTTCTCTAAAAACCTGGTCAGAATGGTTGGGTGAGATTTGGGAGGTGGGAAAGAGGATGACATTTAAAAGGATAGAACATCACTTGACTTGTGTCATTGACCTCAAGTCCATGATGGCAGATAAAAAGAGCATATTTCCTCATCTCTTTTTTGAAATAAATTTATAGAAACCCAGGTAGAGGGCCGAGCCTGTGGCGCACTCGGTAAAGTGCGGCGTTGGGAGCGCAGCTGCACTCCCGCCGCGGGTTCGGATCCTATATAGGGATGACCGGTGCGCTCACAGCGCTCACTGGTTGAGCGCGGTTGTGGCCGGTCTCAAAAAGGACAAAAAAAAAAAAGAAAAAAGAAAAAGAAACCCAGGTAGAAATAAAACCATATTACTGGAGAGAATGGGAGGAAGACTCAGTAACAGATGAGATTTCAACAAATTTGGGGAAGATAGAAAGGAGATAAGAATACTGACATTTAAAGCAGAAGATGTACTGAAGCAAATGTGCTGAAGTAGACATGGGAGTCTGCCAAATAGGTCCAGAGAGAGACTCTGATGTAAGTTCACAGGTTCAGTAGAGGGTGCAAGGGTGGGGTGTATACAGAAAGACTAATTGAAGTTCTGAATTCAAACACCTATATTGCTTGGCCTTTTCATCTTCTACAGCCTGCCCCCACCAAATAAAGCACGGGCAGATACTTACCCCTAAGCAGTGAGAAGTGCTTCTTTATCTAAATTAAATTACTTATCTAGTGAATGTTAAGACTCCAGCTGTGGAAATCTACCATGAAAAAAGAGGACTCAATAAAATAAATAATAGAGTAGAAAAGTTGAAAATCTTGAGTGCATGTGAGATACAAAGAATATGAAGGTTAAAAATACTAGAAATTTAGGGAAAATAAAAAGATATACAATAAAATTATGATTCAAAAATGAAACAAAATTTAGAATGATTTTTTAAGTATGAATAATTGATAGCATGAAACAAAAGATAATTTACTTAATATTGAGGCTGGGCACCTTTTACTTTGAATGCCCTTAGGGCCATGATGTTGAATTCATGGAGAAGAAAAGACAATCCCTGAGCACTAAGTGACCCCAGCATTAAGGGGTGTATCATTGTCATTGTAATGTAAACATAGTATACTGTGTTTACATCTTTTCAAAAAAACCTAGGTACAGAGCATGGCAATTTGGTTGTGTTGAAGGACAAGATCTAAACAGACTAGTAATATATAATAAATGTAAAAGGATAGCTAGCAAAAGATGGAATGTGAAAGGGAGGTGGAAAATTGGAGAAAAATATTTAGGAGCTAATAACTTTTCCATTGCAAAGCAGTAAAGTCAAAGAAAAGTATCTAGGAGGTAATATCTTCATCTTACACAGGGTGTCCAGAAATGCCATTTAAAGTTGATGGGATAAAAAAAAAGGCAGGTTAAGTGTATCAAAGATACAAATGTAATCAAGGTATATATAAAGATCTTTTTCATTCAGATCTTTGCTCAAATGTTACACTGTCTAAAATCGCAGCCTTTCTTCCCCACTCCATGCTCTCTATCCCACTTCCCTGCTTCATTTTTTTTCCATTGCACTTATGATACACTGTATTTTTCTGATTTGTTTATTATTGGCTCTCCTCCTCACCTCCACTCCAGGATGTAAGCTCAAGGAGGGCAGGGAATTTTTTTGCCTTTTCTTTCTTAATATTATATTTCCAATACCTTGGCATAGTTGTTGCTCATTAAATACTTGTTGAATGAATGACTGAATGAATGACCATACAACAGTAGGAAGTGAATGGGGGTCTTATAAATTAACTAAAGCTTTATCTTTTATGTTAAGATTTGAAAGTTAGTAACTTAAGGTGATAAATCAAGTTATTCAAAGTTTGTAAACGAGTATTAGAGACGTAGTCTCTAGCAAAACTACAAAGCAGAAATAGTAAGAAAGAAGTTGCTTCTGGGGTTTGGAGATGTTGGGACAGGATATTTTTCCTTTCCTTTATAACTCTTCACACTGTTTGATTTGTTACAATGTGAATGTATTGCTTTGATGGAAAATAAAACTAAAATCAATGACAAATTCTAAAGCTTTGACTTGATTCTTAGAATTCAGCACAGCTATATCAGAACCTCTATGCATGACCTGTGTACCCTGTCCCTAATTTTTCCAAGAGTCTTGGACCATGTGTGGCCCGAAATCACATCAGCATTTTCCACAGCCTCCACTTTCAGTTGATAACCCTGAATCTTTTGACTCCCCTGACTTTGAAGTTTCTTGGGTATCCTGTGACACCACCTCTTCACTCTTTGTTGCATTGCAGTTCATCATGCTGTCCAGCAACCTCCAAGCAAAGTAACTTATTTTTCTTATTTTCTTCTTGGGGGTTCACTGAGTTTGGGTGTCTTAGTTGGTTCTGATTCATCTGCAAAGCATATGCATTTTCTTCAGGTTCAGCTTTACCTGGACTTGTATCATCAACCCTCATCACATGGCCTGGGGTCTTCGAATGATACCAGACCCGAGAAATTGACCATTTATTTCAGAATGGTGTTTATTTGGGGTTTGTTTTGTTTTTTAAGAGTTTTATCTTTTTTCTGATTATGGAATAAGTATATATGAGGCATAGTATGAAAATCCAAGAAAAAAATCTATAATATAGTGAAAATCCCTCATAGTTCTTTCCTCCGCAGATAATAAGTGTTCAAGACTTGTTTTACATACACATAGTTTTTTTATATAAAAAAAGAGTGCATACTGTACATACTATTCTACAACCTACCATCTCACCATCTTCCAATGGCCATGCATAAAGGTCAACCTCATTCTCTTTAATGACCATATACTATTAGTTTATATGATATATTGGTCAGGATGCTTAGTTATGGACAACATAATCTACTCTGATTAAGTATATTAAGGAGTATATATTGCTCACTTGGAAGAACTAAAGAAACCATTTTCAAAATCAGCTTCCAGGAAAAATTCCCAAAAATCTCATCACAGAACTGGGCTGCCAAGGGAGCCACTACCTCTGCCACAATCAGAAAACTGTGACAGAGCTGTAGGCTTCAGAACTACTCATCTCTGTCAAGGTCAAGAAGCTGCCGAGTCAGGAAACCACCTTGCGAATCAGGACGCTGCCTAACAAACTGCTGGCTCCAAATTCCCTTTGCCTCTACCACAAACTATGCAAGCAAAATGGATGTTGTGCTCTGCCTCTCTATGTACCTCTGTTCTGAATCAAAGTCTCATGAGAGTATATCTGAGGTGAAACCTAAATTGTATGTGGAACCTGTCAGTAACGGGTATGGGAACTTCACTTGTTAGCTTTTCGGCTTCTGTAGTATAATAAGACAGTAAATTGTTGCGAGAGCAAAACCAGAGTTTCCCACTACATAAGGATACACCATAATTGTTCATTGTATTTGTAAACACTGTTACAAAGGAAACAGTTTTTTTTTTTAGTAAAGCTGCTTTAAAATTTAGAGATTCTGAGTTTATTGGAGGTCTCTGATTAAAATGCAGTTACCACAGAAAATGTTTTTCAAGGCCAAATAATCTTTCAGTTTGTTTGTTTGCACAGGCGACATCATTGTCCACATGGAACCACAAGGATTTATGAAAATTCTGGAATGTTTTGCCCCACAACTGAATATTTGGAAAAATATCCTGTGTATGGCAATGTTCTTCCACCTCAGAGTCTTAAACCCAAGCAAGAATTTCGAGCATGCCGTGGTAAAATGGAAGGAATAACTACATTTAAGTAAATATTGAGCAACTATTTGCTTTACTTCTTTTCCTACCAACTCTTCTGGTTTTAGTAAGATTTTCAAGATATTTAAATTGAACTATTTAGTTGACTGAAGTTGAACCAATCCAAGAAACAAAAAACTAAGTCACAGCTTGAGAAAAACAGAAAGATGAGAAGTTAGGCTGACAAAGAATGATAAGAGAAAAGAGAAATAAAAAGTTCTATGGATTTTATTTTTACTCCTAGAATATCTTACATTTATCTACTTTCCACTGTCACCACCACCTAGAGGAATGCAGTGGCTTCCTAATTGTTATATCTGTATCTACTATAGTTCATTTTTGCATGTCTGATCTGTTTTCAATATTTTAGCATGCCAAGATGATCTGTTTAAAATGCAAATCTAATCCTATTACTTCCCTGCTTAAAATACTCTAAAACTTTCCCATTGTGTTTAACATAGACCGAAATCCTTACCACAATCCCTACATGGTCTGCTCCAAACTTGGTTCTCTGGATTATTTTCACTGCAATGCCCTTTTCACTCTTTTATGCTCCTATCCTATAGGCCATTTTTCATCTTTGAAAGTACCAGGTTCACCTCGTTTCAGAGCCTTCCAAGATACTATTTTTTCCCTGCCTGGAGTTTTCTCTCCCTCTTCCCTAGTTATAACTCATTCGACCTGTAGATCTCAACTAAATTGTCACTTGGGAAAGCCTTCTTTCACCCCTCACCCAGTTTTCAAGCTAGGGAAAATTCCTCTATGTAAGCTCCTTCATATTATTTATCATTAGATTAGTTTCAGTGTTCCATGAAAGCAGGAACTATGTTTATTGTTATCTCAGCATTCTATTTACAGAAACCTGGTACAGTGCCTACTAGCACATAATAGGATCCCAATATTTGTTCAGTGGGTGATGGACAAAAATCCTCTTAAGCCTAAACTTTTCATTGAACCTGGCTTTTTTTTTTTTTTTTTTTTTTAAAGATGACCGGTAAGGGGATCTTAACCCTTGACTTGGTGTTGTCAGCACCACGCTTTCCCAAGGGAGCGAACCGGCCATCCCTATATGGGAGCCGAACCTGTGGCCTTGGTGTTATCAGCCCCACACTCTCCCGAGTGAGCCACAGGCCGGCCCATGAACCTGGCTTTTTTTTTTTTTTTAAAGATGACCGGTAAGGGGATCTTAACCCTTGACTTGGTGTTGTCAGCACCACGCTTTCCCAAGGGAGCGAACCGGCCATCCCTATATGGGAGCCGAACCTGTGGCCTTGGTGTTATCAGCACCACACTCTCCCGAGTGAGCCACAGGCCGGCCCATGAACCTGGCTTTTTTGATCTCTTTGTATCTTTGTCAGTTAGGTGTCAATTTTATTATTCATTATTTTATTTAAACTATTGATGTGTACACCATATTCAAGGCACAATCTTAGCGCCTTAAGTGTAAAAATATCAGTACATTTAAGCTCCTGCTTTCAAGGAACTCATACATCAGCTTTCTATAATTTGGGGTTTTAGAAATGTTCTATAACAGCTTTAATTTTTAGTGTTAGCCATTTCCATTTCATTTCAGATAGAGCTCATTCTACTTATATAGCAAAGGTGGAGAATTTCAAATTAGATTAATACTTCTACCTTTAACATTTCAGGCAACCCTATAGTAATAGTGCTTTGGTGACTCCAGTTAACTTATTTATGTAGGTGTGTGGCTCTTCCACATATCAAAGATTTTTCCATAGTCTTCACTTTAGTGTGCTTTAGTACCATCTGGAAGTGCTAAAATTGCAGATTCCGGAGCTCCACCTAAATGAATCGGTAGATAATGGAGTGGGTCCCAGGAATCTGTATTTTTAACCCACAATTCTGGTGATTCTGTTGGCACAGACTCGCAGTAGGTCAGGCACTGGACTGCTCCCTTGGGGTGACATGGACATAAAACAGAGCAGGGATTTGCCCTACTGTTGTTTACAGTCTTTAGGAAAGATAGTCCAGAAACAAAAAATCAGCTAAATAAACAAGATAATAATAGATTATAGTACATGAGATGAAGAAATTGAACAACTGGTTGAGATAGAGCAAATGGAAATGGTTGCTCTTTTTTCTTCATCTTAACTTCTTTCTTCCTTGATACCTGTGTGGTTCATAATGAAGATTTGAAACAAATTTCACAATATTTATGTGTATTGAGTAAAGATTTTGCTTTTTAACCGGTTCCAAATGTTAAAATCAAGAAAGTTTAACCTGAAATATCTTTCTTTTAAAAGGCAATTGCTTTTCAGTTCTGGATTTTCCCAGTTGACTTGGTCAAGTCATTAATATTGAAAAAAAAAAAAAGTCCCAAATCCCAAAGGCTCAAATATGCCAATAAAACTAAAAATTCTATTCCTTAAGTCATCATCTCTCCACTTAGTAAGGCACTGGATCTTTTCTTTATATTTTGACTAGAAAACCACCAGCATTTCTAAAAGCCATGAGACCTAGGGGCTTGGAACTCTTGCTTGACCCCCTCATGTTAACCATGCTGACTAGGCAGTAGAAAGCAGATTTATCTATACAAAAAAGAATAAAGTGTCATTCATACTTTTCTATAATACAGGAGGAAACTGTATAAAGAGCACATGTCAGAACTTGTACAGACTTTTGATGCTTTATAGCATTACAATTGCAACACAGAGGACTGCCAGAATAGGCAAGAAGTCTGTCCTGAAGGAGTAGGATTCTGGGCGTATCAAATATGGGATATATTGGATGAATAAGACTGCATTCACCCTCTACTACTTTTCCATGGAAAGTTGCTTTGGGTTCAGAGGTATACTTTCTGACACTTAACTAGTCTAACCTGAGAAACTGAGACTTCTAAGCTTTCTCTCTGCCTTTCTCTCCCTGATTTTCCAACTTCCTGATTGCATTTTAGCCTAGTCTTCTCTAGCTGGTATTTGAGAAGAACAAAGAGCAACTCAGCTGTCTTGAGAAGCAGAGGTATGTGATTTCTACTACTATCCATCTATTAAATACTTATTAAGCATTTGTTAAGCGTTAAGCACTATGCTTAGCACCTGGGGTACAGTGGTGAGCAAAAGCTGAAATGATCTTTGTGCTCACAAACATTACAGTCTAGTGGAAGTGACAATCAAAAATATCACTCAAGGGCCAGCCCGGTGGCGCACTGGATAGTGCGCCGCTTGGGAAGCGCGGCGGCGCTCCCGCCCGACGGTTCGGATCCCACGTGCGGACCGGTTCCCGCTCACTGGCTGAGTGAGGCGCGGGGGCAACACCGAGGGTTGCGATCCCGTTGCCGGACACGGAAAAAGAAAAAAAAAAAAAAAAAAAAAAAAAAAAAAATCACTCAAAATAAGTATAAAATTGCAACAGTGATAAAATCTATGAAGGATAGGGGCAGTGTACCTTGACAGCCAGAAAAAGAGCTTTGACTTTATTAGGGAAATGAGAAAAATGAGCTAAAACCTGAAGGATGTTAAGCAATTAACTAGATTAAGAGGGGAAGTACTTTCCAGATAGAGAGAGTAGCATGTAGCAGGAGGGAACACAGAAAGTAGGAGATGCTCAAGGAGATACTCAAAGAAGGCCAGCAGAGCAGAGAAAGTAAGAGGAAACAGTGCGGGTTGAGGCTAGAGAAGGAGCCAGGCAGGGCCTTTAGGCCATGTTCAGTTTCATCTATATTCCTAGAGCATTAAAAAGCCATTGGAGATTTCTTTTCTGTTTTGTTTTATTTTATTTTTTGCAGGTGTGGGAGGGATATGGGAGAGGTGGGAGATCTAAGGAGGGGGCTAGGGTGATAAGGGCAAAAATGACCTGATCATATTTACATGCATGTGAGAGAATTACTTTGAGGTCAATGTGGAGAAAAGATTAGAGAGAAGATTAGAGTTGATGCAGGTAAATGAGTTTAGGAAGTTGTTGAAATTATTCAAGTGAGCTAGTATGAAAGATTTGAATATTATGGTGGTAATGGAAATGGAGAAAAGTGGTTAGATTTGAGAGATATTTAGGAGGCAAAATTGATGGGAGTTGATGATAGAATAGATTGGGAGGGAGGTGAGGTATAAATGGTGAGGCCTAGGTTTCTGACAGTGCACCTGAAGGGAACAAGCAAAAAGAACAGTATTTGTTGGGGGGGAAATAATGAGTTTGATTTCGGACATATTGAATTTTGTGGTGCCATTGAATATCCAAGAGGCCATTGTAGATGCTGGTATAAAGCTCAGAGAAGAGGTCTAAGCTGAGATGTAAATTTGACAGTCATTTCTATATAGGTAGTAGTTGAAGCTGTAGGAGTAGAAGAGTTAGTTGTCTTCAGGGTTGAACACTGTATGAGGAGAGGAGCGTGTGTACGCCCAAGTCTTGAGGAACTCCAACACTGATTATTTAATAGCTGAATAGAGGTGGATGAAGCTGCGTAGGACAGTGAGGAGAAATAGTAAGGCAGAAAGAAAGAATTTCCCAGAAATGGAGAGAGTGGACAATAACGTTGTTTATTGCTGGAGAGGTCAAGTAAAATGAGTACTAAAAATGTCTGATGGATTTCATCACAGGGCATTCATTGTGAATCTTAGAGCTGTGTTAGGAAAATGACAGTACTGGAAACCAGACTGAAGTGGATTGAAGAGGTGGGTGGGTTAAAAGGGGTGAGAAAATGGAATCAACCAGTCTGAGAAGTTACGTTGTGAATAGGAGAAGGGATTCTGTGCATTTTTTATTTGTTTCTTAGAGCTTATGAACACATGCAGCAAGTATTGATTAATACAAAATAGTTTAACCGTAAAATGAGTGACATGGCCAATAGAGTCCGGAAGAAAAAAGCAATCTGTGAAAACTTGGAGTAATAATAGTAGTAGCTAACATGACCTGACCATGTACCAAGCACTCCTCCAAGTGTGTGTTTGTGGATCCTTAAAACAACCCCATGAAGTAGATGATAATTTTGTCCCATTTAATGTATCAGGAAACTGGGGCATAGACAGGTTAAGTTATCCAAGGTCATGCAGCTAGTGAATGACAGAGCCAGGATTTGGACCCAGGCAATCTGATCAGTCTAAATCTGTGGTCTTCTCTATTCCACCAGACTACCTCAGTATCTGCAGTACTACCTCTGTCATATAATGTAATATGATGCCCAGGGACTATTACCATCCATGACAAGGGATTCTGGGAGGTCCAAAGATGAGTAAGACGCATACCCATATTATGAATGTAATTTATTTCTAAAGGCCAGAGTCACTGATCATTTAATGAATAGGAAAACAGCACGATTTCAGTAAGAAGAATGTATGCCCAAATAGTTTACTGGAGTCTTTCAGTAGGATGAATAAGATATTTGATAAAGTGGACCCAGCAGGAATTTATTTTTTAAATTTTTCAGATTTATCAAACCTTTCACCTGATATTCCTTCCCGGTTAGAAAAAATTCAGTTACTTGAGAATTCTGTTTACTTTAGATCCAAGTAACTGAGAATCTGTTATAAAGATGTTTTGAAAACTAGGATTGTTGACATATTTTTCTCAATATAATTAGTCACTGGATAATAGGACCTTATAAAGGAATTCAATTACTTCTTTCAAGTAGTTAGTTTATCAACTATTACCATTTTAATAGTAAAAAGAAAAAGACTTGAGATTTTCAATAGTGTATTGAAATGATTAGAAATAAAAGAATTTGTGAGGCTATGTTTCAAATTTATATATTCCAGGTCAGATTATCGTCCTTATGAAATAGTCAAACAGCCTCGCCATCTACCAGAAGAATATAAGCCAAAACAGGGGAAGATTGATCTTGGCACTACCTACAAACGGGATTTTAATTCTTATAATGTGCAGCCTGTGGCAATAGTCCGTCCTTTGGAGCGACAACAAGTTAAAAAAGGAAAGTTGGACACTGTCCCAACCTATAAAGGTAAATTGCCATTTCAAAAATGAAGGAGCCAAAAACTAAAACTCACTTCTAGCTTTAACATTTACTATCAAATTATAATTTTGGTGTGTTGCCAGATTTAGCCCCCAGGGCTTAGAAAATAACTTTCTCTTTGTTCAAAATGAGATTGCATAGATCAAAAAACAAAAAAACCCACCATTAGCCTGATTGAGAGTTAAGAGACCTGGATTCCTGTACAAATTAAATCACTTAGTTTTCCCTCTCTCAAAACATATAAAAAACAAAGGATGCCATTGAACAAGCATTATGTCACATCTGTCACTTTATGTCATATTTAGTTTGCTAGAAGGAATTGAAGCTCTACCGAGAGAGTATTAGGGTCTTTGAGAAATAAGTAGCAACCCTCTTATCCATTCAAGTTCTGAAACAACCTATAAAGCAAAAGAGTTAGCAGATGGAGAACCAAAATATTACTTTTATACTGATAAAGGGTAGGGTGAAGGATAAAGCTTCCATCTGTAAACAGATGGTTCCTGATACTGAATCTCAGAATAAGATGGGCTTATCCACGGTGTGACAGACAGTGCTGATCGACCACATGGGGAACCTACTCCTCTAAGACTTCAAACATGGAGGAAGTGTGGGAATACCTTCTCCCTGATGACATCTGATGTGGAAGAGTAGGAGCTGGGCAAAGTATGAACAGTTTTTCTTTCCAAAAAGCTATCTGACTTTAAAATACTCTATTACTTTTGGGGGATGAGGTCTTTATTTTTTTTAAATAGGCTATCTTGATAATAGATATTATTTCTATATTTTCTTTTATTAGTAATATAGTTGCATATAGTATAGGTTTACATTTTTTCCATTAATTATGTGAAATAGCTGAATGAGTATGGCTAATATAAAACCCTTTGGTATGAGTGATACAATCCACAATCAAAGTCATGATTCATACTTTAATTAGGTAATAGCTGAATGCACACTTTTTCTATAAATTTCACACTTCATACTTTAATGAATAAGTAAAGTGCATCTATAAGCCTATCCATTAGGGAGGTTAGGAACAATGTTCTTTCTGTTTTTAAAAGCTGTGAGCTCATAAAATGCTACACAAAGAACAAATTGTGAAGACTATGGATATGGTAAACAAATATAATCAAATGTAGCATATGGTAATTGCTAAGATATAGATATTGATATGTATAGGAGACAATGTACTGTACAAAATTTGATGTAAAAGATAATTAATGAAAATGATGTACTTGCTCCTTTATACAATAGTAAAGTTTTCTTCACTTTTTTTCTACCAAATCTATAAAAAAAAAAATCAGTAATATTGATTCCCCCTTATACTGTGAACATTTACACACAACGTACGCAGATACTCACACCAACACTAGTTCTGGCTTTCTATTACTTGGGTTTCCTACAGATTTTCATACTTCCACTCCTACAGTTCAAGTCTGAGGAATCCTGGCCTTCTCTCTTCTGATCTTTCTGAGTGAGGAAAGGTTATGTTTTGTATTTTCAGGCTTTTAGGCATAAGACAACAGTAATACTCAGGGCCAACGCTGTACTTCATCATTATGTGTGATTGTAGTGCAGGCTTTGTAGATATCTACTTAAGGACAGGTCTGTAGATGAAGAGAAGTCACAGTGGGAAGAGACTCTCTTACTGTCCTCTGAAAGTTAGGGAATGGAAGAAAGACAGAAATAGGATATGATAAAGAACAATGAAAACTCTGCAAGATGGTAAGCAGGGCAACATGTAGATTCTGGAGATGTGGTTGTATGAAACAGATAACTCCTTTACAAATATTTCTGCCTCCAGTAGCCTCAGCTTAGAATTTCATTTATATTAAAATATAGATGATGGGGGCTGGCCCGGTGGTGCACTCGGTAGAGTGCGGCGCTTGGGAGCGCGGCGGCGCTCCCGCCGAGGGTTCGGATCCCATAGAGAGACCGGTCCGCTCACTGGTTGAGCGTGGTGCAGGCGTGACACCGAGGGTTGCGATCCCATTGCCGGTCACAGTACGGGCACGACACCGAGGGTTGCGATCCCGTTACCGGTCACGAAAAAAGACAAAAAGGGAAAAGAAAAAAAAAAATACATATATATATATATATGAGGAAATAGATCAGTATTTGATTTGATAAATATGTTTTGGGGATTATCCTGCTCTTTGTTAGCCATTGTAGGGAATACAGAGATCTGGATTGTAGCATAGTTGTTGATGTTTAGAAAATTTATAATTGAGGGCCGGCCCGGTGGCGCACTGCTACAGTGCGCCGCTTGGGAGCGCGGTGGCGCTCCCGCCGAGGGTTCAGATCCCACATACAGACCGGTTCCCGCTCACTGGCTGAGTGAGGTGCGGGCGCAACACCAAGGGTTGCGATCCCGTTGCCGGTCCCGGTCTGGTCCGGGTGCAACACTGAGGGTTGCGATCCGTTGCCGGACACGAAAAAAGACAAAAAGGAAAAAAAAAAAAAAAAAGAAAATTTATAATTGATAACCAAGGAGGTAAAATATCTGTACACTAAAAACTATAAAACATTGATGCTGGCTGGCCAGTTAGCTCAGTTGGTTACAGTGCAGCATTAGAACACCAAGGTCAAGGGTTCAGATCCCCATACTGGCCAGCCTCCAGGAAGAAGAAAAAAAAAATTGATTAAAGAAACTGAAGAAGTAACAAATAAGTGGAATGATACCCTTTGTTCATGGTTTGGGAAAATTAATATTGTTAAAATGTTCACACTACCCAAAGCAATATATAAATCTTATCAAAATTCCAATGGCATTTTTCACAGAAATAAAAAAAATCCTATAATTAATGCGAAACCACAGAAGACCCTGATTAGCCAAAGCAATCTTAAGAAAGAATAATTAAGTTGGAGGCTTCACATTTCCTGATTTCAAATTATATTGCAAAGCTATAGTAATATGTAATATGGTAATATAGTAGTATGGCAGTGGTATAAAGGCAGACACATAGACCAATGGAACAGTATAGAGAGCCCAGGAACAGATTAGAGAGCTGCATATATTTTGTAGCCATTACAAATTTTCGTGAGTTCAGCTTTTGGTATAGGATATAATAGAGAGCAGAAAGTCATTGTTTCCACTGCAATAACTAAAGAAAAAAGTATGAATTTTTAAAAATCTTCTTTTCAATAGCATCAGACAGCTGCAGAAGCAAAGAACTAAAATTTTAGAGAGGGAAGAGCCCTTTCTAGGTGATTTGAGATGGCCAACCATTTACTTTTCTGGGAACATTGGTCAAATCTAGGCCTAAACTGAGGATTGAGCTTGGCATAAGCAGCGGTACTGTACTAGGAAAAATTAATGAAATACTTAATATGTGGCTGGTATGACAAACTGGAATCTAGAAGAGCCCCAAATTCAGGGCTGGTTTTCTTTGTGGGATATTCACTAAGTGTTTAAGAGGCATGGTAGGCTGGGAGACTGGGCCAGAAAAGTCCCACGGAAATATCTCACAGTCTTACTTGACAGTAGATACTTAGGAGACAAAGTCCTACTAGAATGAGGGCCCTACCACAAGCACACCTCAGGTCTTATCCTTGAGACATTTGAAACTAGAGGAACACTATATCTAACCATAGGTGCCACTGAGTGCTGACCTAATTCAATTCCTGATCAGATCAAGGTGATCTGCCGCACATCCTATTTGCCTAACATAGGAAAGAGAAAACTGTCTCCTGTTGTAAGTAACATTGGTGTTAGCTTCTATTATTCTTTTATATACAACAGCCAGCATATAGTAAAATGTTATGAAACCCATGAAGAATCAGGAAATATTTGAAGAGATAGTAGTCAAGAAATTTCCACAATTGATGAAAGAACCAGCCCACAGATTCAAGAAGCTTGACAAGTCCCAAAATAGATAAACACAAAGAAAACCACCCCTAGGCAACTGTTGTCAAACTTCTGATAACCAAGTAAAGATAAGTTCCTGAAAGTAGTAAGAGAAAAAATAAATATTATCCACAAAAAAGAAAATTATACCTGACTTTCCAACAGAAACTATGGAAGCCAAAAGACAATGGAATGATATCTTTAAAATGCTAAAAGGAAAAGAAATCTAGAATTTTAAACCCAGTAAATACCAGAATTTTATATCTAGTAAAAATATCTTTCAAAAAAAAAAAAGGCAAAGTAAGTATGTTTTCAGACCAAAAAAAAAAGAAGCTGAGATAATTTGTTAGCATCAGACCCATACAACAAAAAGTGCTAAAGGAAGTTCTTCACATTGAAGAAAAATTATTCCAGATAGAAGCACAAAATGCAGGAAACAATGAATCACACAGAAAGGGTAAATATGTGGGTAAATATTAAAAGAATATTGGTTTTTTAAGGTCACAATAATAATTATATTATGTTTTTACACAAATATAGAAGTAAAATATTAGAACAAAAGGCAGGAGGGTGCAAATGGAATTAAACTGTTAAAATGCTCTTCCATTGTTCTAGAAGTGGTAAAAATATCAATTTAAGTTTGATGGGGCCAGAAAGAGCCCATAATAACTCAAAAATGCAATTTTATTTTTGAAGTATAGAAAGTTATAATTAAAATTCTAATAGAGAAAAAATGGAACATTAAAAATTAATAAAAATCCAAAAGAAGACAGGAAATAAGAGGTATGGAAACAACATATGGGAAAATCAAAAGCAAATAGCAATACTGTCAATTTAAGCCCAGCTAGATCATTCATTATGTTAAATGTAAATGAACTGAATATTGCAATTAAAATTCAAGGATTGATTCCTCATACATTAAAAAGATGAAAGGACATTTTTAAAATGTATGCCAATAATCTATAAATTACATGAAATGGACAAATTCTTTGAAAAATACACTTTACCAAAACTAACTTAAAAAGAAATAAAAGTAAAAGTAGCCCTATATATATTAAAGAAATTGAATTTGTAGGATTGAAGGTGTAACTTAAATCTTTGTCATAAAGAAAATCCAGAATTTTCAGTTTCTGAATAGGATGCA